GAGTATAGTCTAGTCCCGTCCTACATCCTGCAGCTTCTCCCGTGGCATCCGCCGCTTTCCCTTGTAGGACGCCCAGCAGCCAAGCTCTCAGTGTGTCCTTTGGCATTCTGGTGCCGACGGCCGTGTCGCCCTTTACTAGCGCATTTTGTCATTGATGCATAATTTTCTGTTTCTGCAGCCATTTCAGATAAATTTAGTGAAAGTTAGTTTCCAAAAATGAATCACAGATTTTTCTAAAGATACGTTGAAAAACCAGTGGAAGTTGCGCGGTCTTAAACCTTGGAATAGAAGTGGCTTCTTTCAGGTAAACATACATTCTTCTGTCAAAATTTAAGTCATTAGGTTTAAGGTGGTCTTTTTTTTTTCCCCTCAAATAAGGAATTGATCTGGAAAGTGCTGTTTATTATGTTCGCATATCATCTGCTAATATGGAAGGTTAAATTCTTACTTTAAAGTTAAAAATTCATTGTGAATATAATTAAAAAGGTAAGACTAGTTGGTGTCTCCCAAAATATGATTATCTGATCCCTAAATAAATCTGAATTTCAATATTTTTTACACTTAGAACACTATTTGAAAGAATGCTTTTTAGAAATAAATGCCTAATGCTTTTTAGAAATAAATGCCTAATGCTTTTTAGAAATAAATGCCTAATGCTTTTTAGAAATAAATGCCTAAAAAGGAATATTTAACTAGACAGCTTGTAAAAGAAGTTTTTCATTTGAAGGCAAGTAAGTGCAAACTCAGTTTAGACCATTTAAACCATCAGCTTCAACCTACTCACAGAAGCAAAATCTATTAAAGCGCTCTGAATGTAGAGTTTCATCCTCGGAAGAATTTTCTCTGCTCTGCAGTTTGCTAAGCTTCTTTGAAGACAGCTTACTTGAAATGAAAAAGACAGTAACAGAGGCGCTGCTATTGTGGATTCTCACTAAAAACCCACACTGAGGAAATCTGTGGGCTTCTGAAAGGGTGTGGTGTTGCTCTTCACAGCCAAATACCTACGAAGAGTACATTTTTTCCAATTAAGTTGATAACTCAGTGTTCTGATTTGCAAAAAGATGAGTTAAATTTAACCTAAGATTAACCTAAGAGTTAAAGGCTCTAACCCTACCTAACCCGCAGGAGGTGTCGGGCTAACTCAGATGTGTTCTAATACTAGGTGTCTCTTGCAAGTTTGCTGGGGTGCAGTTTTGTGGTATGCTTGATCTGATGAAATGCAGGCTGCCATCAAAAAGACAGGTTCCCTACTCCTTCCACACACGCCCCCGCCATCCCCTTTCCATTCCATTTAGCAACATGACAAGCTAGATCGATGCTTTGACTTTTTATGTTAGGTTATTTTTACGTCTAATGAACTTGCTGAGCTGGTTTACCGCATGAGTGCTTGACACAGCAAAAGGAAATGGGTAGAAATAAATGGCTGAAGAAGGAAGAGGAAGAGAATAAGACTGTCTTGGTAGTGGCTTTCAGAGCTGATTAAGGGTAATGAGATTAATTTTGCCAAATTCCTTATTTTTTAAGAGAGAAAGTCTTATGGAGGCTGTTGTGTTAAATCTTTTCTAAGGCATTTTCAGGAACAGACTGTTTTCTAGCATACTCCCAAAATATTTCTGTAGTTGTATGCCTGGCTTTGTTCTGTCTATAGTACCAGTTGTGCCTGTGGTACTGTCATCAAATCTTTAAGGTTCATAGATGTTAAAATGTACAAATTAAAGGCAGATACATTATAGGAGCTGCATGTGGTGACGTAGTTGCTACAGCAGTGTAATACTGCCTCTTTTGGTGGCAGTTGGTGGAATGTCTTAGTGCATTTGGTCAAGCTGTGTTAATTTTTCTTCACTGACTATTATCAGGTATCCGGTCTATAAACTGGGCTATGACCTGCGTCAGGGCACAGCCTCTTCCTTGCCTTGCTGCTGAATTGTTACAATTCAAGACAGATAGGACAAGACATTGGTTGCTTGTAGTCCTTTCCTTTGTGTTCAGGAAAAAAGATAAAAGTGCGGGCTAGATAGACAGCAGGTGGCAGGGGAGTGAAAAGTGCTTAGTGAAATAAATATTTATCCTTTCTAAAACAGTGAGTGTCCACTGTTCATCACAGTGGTGTTGAACATTGCAGTTGGATGGCTAGGCAGTGCTTTAAAATGGGGGGGGAAACAGTAGGGGCGAAGGGAGAAAAACTAACTAGCTATAGCATTAAGCGTAGTTTTCTTCAGTACATGGGAGCATCTTATCTGACAGAAGGCTCCTCTATTAATCCTGTGGCATGCACACCACATTAGGATTTCAGTTACAGAGAGATCAATATATTTTAGACAGTCATCTGAAATGTTTGTCAACACTTGAGCTAGTATTTTGGGGTCTGTGGTTAGCCCTCAAGTAAGGGGTCATTACTGGTTTTGGAGGCTTTAGAAGGCTTTTAATTTCTAGTGTTTTGAGATTTTTTTTTTTTTTTTTTTTTGTAAACAAGTGCCTTTGCTTTTTTCTTGGGGCTCTGTGTTGTTTTCTAGCTGTATTTTCTATTTAGACTTGCTATTGAAGATACAAAAGGAGTGGAGTGGGAGTTGAAAATAACAAACTTCCTTCTCTCTCAGCATTATGAAAGGGTAGGGTTTCCTCTACATCTTAAAAAAATTCTATTGATATCTTAAGCTACATTATTCTTTGTGGAGTTCATAAACCTCTTAAACATACCGTGTCGGATGTTAATCCTATCTACAGAAGTTATTTATTAAGTCCTTCGAACTTGACAAGCTATATTGGCTTCTGCTAGTTGTTTCCTTGAACTGTGCTCTCTGTCTGATTATGCATTTTTTATTAGAGCCTTACATAGTGTACAGCAACAGCTTTTGGGGAGATTAAAGTGGTATATTAGTATTTTAAAGAAACCTAACTTTCATATTCTTCAGATAGAGTCAGGTTTGTTGATCCTGGCCTAGAGTCCACACAACATTTACGTTTTACGGAGAAAGTCCAGTCTTTGTCCCAAGGAAATCGCAGTTTTAAATTATTCCAATTTCAAGGAGGGGAGGCAGGAGGAAACATTACTTAGGTGACATAAGGGGTTAGTACCATAATGCAGATCTGTTGGCTTGGCAGCTACTAGTAGCTGTCATGGTTAAAAATAGGGTTCCGAACACAAATATTTAGACTGAATCACAGTAAAGTTCAATTCACCTTAATTTGTAGGTAAAGCAGGAGCTGTGACAGCATTCACAGGGGCAGAAGACCTGCATTAAGTCATGTGTTTAGCATGGTCTTAGCAGGAGGCTTAAATTTGGTTTAGGTGGTGGTGGTTTGGGTTCCTTCTGTAGTCGAAGGCTTTTGTTAGCCAGGGGGATGTGAACATGTGTGGTCATCAGTGCTAAGGGGAGGAAAAACATCAGAGGAACACTTAAACAGTTCCAAGTCTGATTGCAACACGAATTTTAAACTTTCATTTCTGACTCCAAACCCTCCTCCTACTGCAAGCTGCTGGAGCCACAAACAAGCTTCCTACAAGTGAAGGCGTTCTGTGTATTTGCAGAAATAAAATGAGTAACAACTAGAAGATTTCAGCATCAAGCTGTGGCAGTAAAAATGCTTTTGTGAAATTGTGCTCACATACATCTTCTGTGAGAATATTCTTAATTCTGATTTTCTGTAAACAAATGCTATTTGTTCCTTTCACTCCGGATACTGACTGGTGCAGTCCATGATTGTTCCTGTGCTATCCCAGTTTATCTACACTGGCACCAGTCTACCATTTGCATTCTTTTCAACATGTCCCTAAACAGATT